CAGCGGCACCCTCGGAAGGACGCGGTGCTGCGGCAGAGCTGCCGGGATCTCTGGCTGTGCCCGTGCCTCGGCGTTGTGCCGCAGATCCCTCCTGGATCGCAGCTCTCCCGGCTCCTCTGAGCCGCCAAAGGCCCAGGAGTGGGTTTGTCCTGAGCTGTGGCTCCTCTGAGCCGCCAAAGGCCCAGGAGTGGGTTTGTCCTGAGCTGTGGCTCCTCTGAGCCGCCAAAGGCCTAGGAGTGGGTTTGTCCTGAGCTGTGGCTCCTCTGAGCCGCCAAAGGCCCATGAGTGGGTTTGTCCTGAGCTATGGCTGCTCCGTGTGCTTGAAGGCGTGGGCACCTGGAAGACTGGAAAGTGTTCTTTCCTTGTTCCAAGTAGTGAGCGTGCACTGCCAGAGGGATGGTGGAAGGACGGGAGGAAGAGGTGTTGGGTGGTTCATGGATGTTTTATGGGCTGTCAGACTATAAAGGGATATCTTTACTAGGGAGATGAGATACGTGGAAGTTACTTGTACTTATTGTGAAACTTGGATTCCATGGCTGTCATGTGATACAGTGTGTTTACAGGTACGAGTTGGGTTTCTGTAGGATCAAGCAGAAACYGGTGTCTTTTATTTCTTCCTGTCTCTAAATAATTACCATTTCCTGYAGGCATCAAACCCTAAGTTTCCCGTCTTGTCAGCCAGTTGTTTCCAAAGAGTAAGTGTCACCGTGTCACTTGGCTCACACACGTTATTTCCATGCAGCAGTTCATTTTCCAAGACTGCCCCTCCCCTTGACATTTTGCCTCTGGAGAGAGGTGGTTTCTCAGGTGAGCGTTCTGCTCAACGTGGCTCTGAGAGCAGATGGTTTTGTAAAAACCTTCCTGGGGTAAAGGCTTGTTGATGGTTTCCCTGTAGCAAACAAAGCCCGGCCTCCAGCTCTTCATCTGCAGGCACCAGCTCTGCTCCTCCAGCCTTTGCATTAAAACAACAGTTGATGACAAGGAGATTGTGCAGAGATTGTTGACAAGGTGATTGTGATCTCTGTTATTTATTGGGAATCTAACGAGCAACACTTGTTCTGTCTTTTCCCAGGAATTGACTGTAATGCCCTTGTAAGCCATGTTTTGAAATGATACTTAAGGAGTGGCACAAGATTCCTGTATTTGCTCTCTCGGTCTCCTTGGCCAAATAGCTCATTACTGCACTGAGGTTTAAAAACAAACTTCAAACCAATTAACCCTTGAAATGATTTTGATCAACAATATAATCACATAAGCTTGTTGTCAGCCAAGCTGAACTCTTGCCTCACAAAAACAAAGGCTAGCAGGTGTCTCTGCACACCTCTAATGTTATTACARACACCTGGACAAACCCTTAACTGAAGTTTTGTGCAGGTGCTGCTGGTTTGAATTTSCCTGAGCATAAGGGAATTAAGTGGCAGTGTGCCTGGTGCATGGATGAGACTTAAAAATGTGGTCATCGACCTGGGAGACTTGTGAAAAATGCTATTCTTGTATGAAGAGCGTCAGGTTGTTCTTGGCTCAAGGCAGGTGAGTGAGCAGACTTTCAGTTCTTGTGCAGGGTGTGGATTTGCAGAAAGGGAGTACAAACTTTGTTTCTGGAGACTAGAAGGATTTAATAAGTTTTCTACTTAATGTATGTACAACAGGTTTTAAAAGTGTGGTTTGTWAATTGGCGTTCCTGCTGATCTCTTATTTCTGTTAATGTTGCACTGTTGTGGGCTCTCCTGGCTTTATTGRAGGCATTATGAGGAAAGCTGGAGGATCTTGGTGTCGGCTTTGCTGTGATCACAGGAGGGCCAGGTGGGGATRTCCTGATGCTGGACTCTACCCTGAAGTCTGTCATTGTGTGTTGCAACATTCTGTGTGTGCACAGGAGAAATACTTCTGGAATGAACCAGGAACAGAGATTGAACTGTTCCTGCTCACACCTCTTTTGGCATCTGTTGGAAGTAAATGCACAGTTGACACAAGAAATCAAGAAACTTTTAAGCATTCAAAACCTCCCTCTGTCTGCTCCTAGTTTTTTTACCCTTGTAACTCCTCTGCACATCTCCACATCAGCTATCAACTTAAAATGAAATCAGGAAGAAAATCTAGGGTAAAAATATAGCATAGGGCATCAACAGTGGAAAACTGTAATCAGTCTTGGAAGGAGGAAATAATTCAGAGTAGAGGGAAAAGCAGGTCAAGCAAACATGGCTTTGGAAAAACAGTGCTGACTCTCCCAGAGGTGTGTCTTGCCAAATGTCTTTGAGAACTRATTTTTTGTTGCTTAGAAAGGTACATTTTGGCTTGTAATAGAACAGAAAAACGAAAAATTATCTTTGGATGCTCAGAGTCTGGTTAGTATTAAAGGAAGTATGTACTGGCCTKCACTTGTGTTTAGGCCAGTGTCATAATAATGGAGTGATTAATAACGAAAGTGTGTATTACACTTCACCACCATATTTTCAGTGCATTGCGTTTATTTTTTGTAAAATATGTAGATAGGTGTATATATGTGTAAAATACTGAGCTTTTTAGGACTTTGCTCAGCCCAGCTAATGAACTGGGTTTCCCCAAGCTGTAAAGCTGATAGAAGTGATGTGGAAAAGCAACAGCTGCGTGTTTTGTTTAGTCAAACCACTGCTTCCAATGCAGCTTCCCAGGGCGATTTATCAACTGCTTCTTTTGGGAGACTGATAGTATGTATGGTTTATCTATGTTTTTCTCCATCGCTATTAATTTCAGCCTTCAGGCCAAAACAGAGTTTAATTGGAAAAATTGTATCACTGAATGCATGGCTTAAAACAGATTGCACGCTCCCAGGGCGTGCTATTTTTAGGTTTTGGGTCGGGTTTTATTTATTTATTTATTTATTTATTTAGAAAAGGCTTTTCCGTGGCAGCGTGGTGTTGTCCGCAGCCAGAGCAGCGCAGCAGCAGCACAGAGCGGGGTCACCTGCTGGCAGCGCGACCCTTGCCAGGCCGGCTCCTCCCTGGGGCCGTTGCCCGCGGGGTCTCGGTGGCACCGGGCGGGTTCCCCGTCCGTTCCGGGGGCAGCGCGGGGCTGCGGCTTCCCCCGCCGTGCGGCCCTGCCCCGGGGGCGGCCCCGCCGCGCCCCGCCCGCCGCCACTGCGGTGGGAGCCGGGAGCGGCCGAGGATGGCGGCGGCACCGGCGGCGCGGGAGCTCACGCAGAACCCGCTGCAGAAGACGTGGGAGCCCTACGACAACGGGCTGCCCGCGGGGCACAGCGCCCAGCGCGGCGGTGAGCGACACGGGGCCGGGGCTGGGGCCGCACGGCGGGGCCGAGCCCCCGCAGCCCCCCGGGCCGGGCGGGGTCGGACTGCGAGGGGATGGAGCCGAGCCCCAGCGCTTTGGGGCGGGCACTGCCGGGGGCTGYGGGGGCTGTGGTGGCGGKCCCCCGTGGAGGGTCGAAGCCCGAAGCTGCTGGCTCAGTGCCCAGCGGAAGGCTGGGAAGCTCAGCTGGAATGAATGTGTTTTCTGGTTGCTTTTGTTGGTGTTTTGGGGGTTTGTTTGGGTTTTTTATTTATTAGACGCTCTGGTGTCAGGGAGCTTTATATTCAGTATATTCTTCTTGGAGAGAGGCCTAAAAATGCCACTGTGTTCTTGTTTTGGTTGTTGTGTTCCTTTTGGTTTTTTTTTTCCTTTAAGGCCAATGCTGTATCAGCCCATCTGTTCTATGAGTTAATGACTTCCCATATTTTGAGGTGCAGCCAACCAAGTCATCAGCCTCCTGAGACTTCAGCTGTGTCGTTTGTAAACCGTAGTTCATTAACAAACTTTGCCTCACAGGTTGTTTTTTTCCCTCTTTCTTTTATTTTCCCCCCTTACTTAAGTAACTGAGGTCCGGTACACGGCAGTTTTGCAGACAAAAGGGGCTTTGTCGTGTGGAATTGTTTGTATTTGTCATGCAAAGAAGCTGTGCTGACAGAGCTGAGGCTCTGCCGGTGTGGCAGGAGTCCATGGGCTGCAGCCTTGGCTCTCTCTGTTCTTGCTTTGGTCCAGCCCTTGCTAAAAAGGAAAACAAAAAAAAAACCAACCCAAAAAACCCACCCCAAACTTTCTGTTGTGTGCTGGGTAAGCAGACAGGCTTGTCTTACTGTGGGAACTGAGTAACTGCAGCATCTGAAGCATGGTAGGTTAAGAGATGAGTGCTGAAATAGGAAAAGGGTCAGAAAATGTAAGTGCTCTTGTAAACACTCTAAGAAGACTGCTTCATTTTAGCCTTAATGTGGTATCTCTTTTCCAAACAGTAATATCTATTACATCTCTGACACACGTACTGTTTAAAAAAAAAACCCAAACCAAAACCCAGTCAAACCCAAGAACAGATTTGCATATGGGTAATTTGGTAATGTACAGTCTTCTTGGCAGAATCATTTAATTTCATTTGACTATAAAAAACCCCAAAACTACACGTGCCTGTGGTTTATTTTTTTGGGATTCTGTAAGTATAGTGCCTAATACCCCTTGTAAGAGAAAAAAGCCTTATGCTAGAAAAAGAAACTTGGGATTTTTTTTGTTTTGTTATTTTAATCCCTTTGCTTTTGCAGCCCTACCCATAACAAGTGTGCAGCCATTTGTGATACATTTCTGATAAGAATTACAAACAGGAAAGGAACAGAAGTTACTCTTCCTTGATAAAACTATCTATCTTGTTTCAGCGAATTGAGAGCACTTGGTAATTTTTCCCATGCAAGGGTGTTGCATAGTCCTTTATCCAAAGATTTCCGTGTATCTTGCAATGCCCTGTGTTCTGGTKGGGCAGTGTGACCTGTGGGTGCTTTAGCTGTGCTGTGACAGCTCAGGATGGCCTGCCTAGATGAGTGATTTGGGGCTGTGTTTGGTTGACCAGTTCCAGTTCTCTGCTGCTTCAGGTAACTGTGTCAAATGTTACTGTTTCCAAAATACCAGCTCGAGGTAGAAGTAGTTTTCTTGTCCTCAGGTGTAGCTTTACAGTGGAAGGAGGTGAAGTTAGTCACTGTGTTCTGAGCATCTTGGCTAAACAAGATGAACTCTTTCAGTCTCTTTTGGCTTGTTTGTTTTTATTTTCTCCTTTGGCTTGGTTTTTTATTTTCTCCATTGTGCTGCTGATCTTTTTCTGCACTACCCTTAGTCTTTATCCTTCTAGAAGGTGGATGAGAAAAATTGTGCACACTTCCAGTTGAGAAGATTTAGAGATTGGTGTACAAAAGGACTTACCTGTTAGCTGTTTTTACTATGATTTTCTAAAGATTGTGGCAACTACAATTGTCTGGAGAAGAAGAAATCTCTTGAGCTGTGCCAGGGTTTAGCTGTCACAGGCTTTGAAGAGCCAGTTCTTTCAGTCTGTGCATTACGAGGCCTTCGAAGAGGAGTTGTGTCTGTGTGCAGCCTACTGAGCAGGCACCTTTTACAGCTGGTGGCACCGGTACAGCCAAGGTAACTGTTCTGATGACCTTCCAAAGTCAGACCTGGAGGCAGTAGAAGTGCATATTGTTATTAATAGCTGTGGGTTGCCTTTTGCGGTCACTTGTGAGAAGTTTTGTCTGTAAATAGGTTGAATTAAAGCTATTCTTGTCATTGTATACTCAGGTTGCTTTAAGCTCTGAATCAAGCAATGGACTATAAACATAAAAAATAAATAGCCCAGTAGGCTCTAGTTTTGAGAGGCCAGCAGAGGATGTTTATAGTGGGAGATAAATAGTGAACTTCCTGTGGTTAAACAGTCCCCCCCCCCAACTACAGTTCATGGCTTTGTTTCCCTAMAGCTGAAGGAATTTGGTCATGCTAATAATTGTCATTTTCTATTGGTACAGCAGTAGAAATGTACATTAAAAAAAAGAAGTATCAAATGATTATCTGTGCTCCAAAGAACTCTACCCTTTAAGCACAAGCTACTTGGGTGTATTCGGGCTCCTAATCCTGGGAGCTGAAAATAGGAGAGCGAATGAGGTGGGATAGTGCCTGAGGAGCAGGATGTGTGATGGGATCRTTGCTGTTGGCTTCAAAGCTATGGGAAGCAAATGGTRACCCTGAGGAAGTGGATGACAGAGCTGCTTGGAGCAGCTGGTGGCACAAACCTGGCCAGGGGACAAATGTAAATTCTGAATCCCTTATRCCAAGGTGATGTTAGAAACTGTTGGTTTGGACAAAAAGAGGAGGGACAAATTAGAAAATAATGGACTCCTTCAGGTCTGGGAGCAGATGCTTTTCAGGAAGGACAGCAGGATGCAATGCATCCTGTGGGATGCAGTGAATGGCTGTCATTGATAAGAGGTTATGATGGATTAGCCAYGGTTAACTTGGGTAAGTGAGGAGTAAAACATGTAGGGCTGACCTTATTTGGAACGGTGGTTGTGTTGGCTTATAGTCAGAGAGATTTGTGTGTGAGCCTCTAAATAGTACAGGATTTTTGGAGGGCAGGCCTTGAATTGAAGGCCATAAAACAACAAGAATGCTGTGTAAACTTCAGATCTCTAACAGGAACAGCTTGCTACAAAAAACATCCGTCCTTAACACATATAAGGAAAAAAACAAAATCTAATCCTGGGTAAAAGGAAGGGACAGCTGATAATACCTTTGGTAGTAAGTGAACTTGGAAAATATCAGCACTTGACTCTTATTTCACAAGATCCATGAGAGGGTTTTGAAGGTGATGAACTGCAGCACAGTTCAGTCTGATCTAGATTGTTCCATGTCCCAGTTTGGTTTCACAACCTTCTTTTTGCATTTGCATTATTTCACAATAGAGTCTAAGAGGCAAGAAATAAGCATGTAATTTCTTCTTTCCTTGACTGTTAAGTCTTAAACTGTAGAAGGTTAGGCAGTCATAATTTTACCCTCAAGCTGCAACTTGCTGTGTTCTTTAATATTTAAGAAATATTGAACTGGGATAATGCCTTTGCCTCAGTTGCAGCACTTCATCACTTGGCCATTTTCCCTCACTGATTGGTATCCTGGGTGTGTTTTTTCTGTGTTCCCTCTTTTTGGTGATGCACTCTTAAATGCTTATATTACAAACATTTATTTTAAAGAAAAAAATGTCTCAAGTCTTAGAGCATCTTTAGCAAATGACAGTGTACAACCTCTGAGTTTTGTTTTACTGATCTGAGTGCCTGTGTTCCTCCAACAGAATTAATGTTGATGGCACATGCAGAGGTTGAGGCTGTCAGAAACTCTTAGGAGGTACATATGCAAAGCAGTAGTAAAAAATGAGTTTGTTTTCTGGAGACAAGACTGTGCAGAGGTATTTCTGGAAGTAAACCAGACAATCCAGTGGTAGGAGTGAAGAGAAAGCTGCCCTTAGGAGTCTGCCTTGGCTCTAACTCACACAACTTTAACTACTTTTGTACTGGAAAGATTTTTTWAATATTAATTGAATGGTGATGGGGTGCTGTGAAAAGGGGGATTGAGCACTGTGCTGTTGKGAAACCAGGAGTTACTTATATGTGACTTGTGGTATGTTTGGCTGTTTTTATCAGTCTACTTCCTCATGTCAAACTTGCTTACATTTCTTAAGGGAGAATGTAAGCCTTGAGAGATGTGAACTTTGAAAATACCTTAATGGGAATGAATATTCCTCTCTGCTTGCAGTGAGTGTTAGCAACACTCTTGAGAAAGCTGTGGGTTAGATAAAGTGAAAGATAGTTTCTTTTAACTTTGGAGTACTTGATACATCCTCAGAACTTTGCATTCTGTTCTGGTCTTAACTTTTTTGCTGAACTAATGAATGAAATTAAGGCTTGTTAATTACACAGTATCATAAGGAAGGAAATAAAGTCTGCTGTGCTGAGTCTTATGTGTGTTGTTGAGAATGCTACACTGAGGTACCGAAGTAGTGAAATAGCTTCTGGTTTTAGTCCTGTCATTTAGCTGTTACTATGCTATTTTAGCCAGTGCAGGTGCCTTTGTCTTCTACTTCCCACTGCACAGGTGTGTTTGTCAATAAGTGCCACCTGTGGCAGGGGGTGTGAGGCTGTAGCTACTAAACCAGAACACCAAACATTTTTTAGTGCCCTGAATTTTAGTTTATGAACTGCCACCCTCTTGTTCAATACARGCACTAAGGGTCGGTATGTGCTGTAGCATCAGGTGCTGTGTGATGTTGTTTATGGGACTATGGCATTTTGTAAAAGGAGAGTATTTGGGATTAGTGGTATTCCTCTTTGTAAAGACAGGGGCATTGGTTTTTATAGATTGAAAGCAGTCTTGGTCAGCCTGGCACCTAATCAGAGTCGGGTGTCCATTTGTTTGATTAGGATAACTCTCTTGGTTTCTGCTTTGTGGTTTCCCTCATCTAGCAGTGCACAAAGTGATTGGAATAACAGATGAGATGTGCTTGTTAAACTGGACACATGGGGCTCTAACAAAGGCAGCTTTGCTAGTTTGGTACTTTCTTTGAAGAAACATATGTTAAAATGCAAGTGATAGCAGACTGGCACACTGAATGTCCCTTGTGCATGTTGTAGYTGTGTTGATCTGGTTTGCTGCTTATTTATAAGATCTGTTACAAACCCACATAGGTAGTAGGACTTAATTTAGAAATTTAGTTGTTGGTGTAATCTGTGAAGCAACCATTTAAGTCGGTTGGAGGTTTCTTCATGGCAGCTTCCCAGCCCTTAGTTTTACTRCAGTATAGGCTTATTATAAAGACAGCTATCTGTGAGAAGGTTAAAATGCATGGCTGACCCAGCAGCAGAAGAAAAAAAAAAGATACTCTTGGAATAATGTTAGTTGGTAAATTTTGCCTGGAATGGGTAGAAAAGCCTGTTCACAGCACAGTTCCTTGCAGAGCAGGACGGTGTACAGAGCCTTTCCATACAGATCCTGGTTTGTCTTTTACAGCTCTCACCTCACTGCTTGTACTGAAAAATTGTTCRAAACTCGAGCTAGGTGTTTCAGGTAAAGAACCTTTTGAACAGGCTTTGAAGAAAAATACCTTCTCTTAAAATTTCTGGGGGCCCAGGGGATCCTCTCATCTCAGTATTTTATTTTACTGTCCTTAAAGCAGGAAGCAAGGCTGTTAAGCTTAATAAGCACTGTACTCTTGGCACTCCATCGACTTTCTTGTTTCCCCAGAGACTTCCTTCCCACTGTTGGMGAGGGGTTTCACAGCCTGAACCTATGACAAAGAGGAAAAGGGACAAGAAATTATTATCTTCCTTATTTATAGGCTTCTTCACAGAGGAACTTGCCCTGAGGGCTTTTATCAGTGTCCTTCCAGAGACCTGGACATGTTTGGATGCTTAGCATTTAGTTCTCTGCAGCTTTTATTACATGTGATAGTTGACTGTTTCATGGATTTGAGGTTGGATACCATTTTACCTCTTCTCTCTCATGAAAACTGGTGTATTTTTAATGGTTTTGGTTTCCTGTCCTTCAGTGTGCATTTTAAGAAAGCACATCTGCTTTGCTAATCTGCTTGCTCTTTTTTGATCTGTTCTGTGAAGTATCTGCACCATATTTGTGCAAGTGACTCAATGGTATGGGACTTGTAAATCCAAGGKTTGGGAATCTTGAGCAACCACAGTGCTTTGTAATCACTGAGATTTAGTCTTTTGGAGTGAAATGATGTCTCCTGTCAAGACACTGAGGAAATAGATACATGTRTGGGTTGTATAGAAATTAATTCACTTAGAAATAGAGGGTGGAGGGAGCTGGTGGTATCTGCATCACTTTAATATCTTCTTTCTTTTTAGGCAGTTCCTTGTAGCTGTGATAGATTAATGCAAGGTATCATWAGTTTTGTGCCATTAAAATGTTCAAAAACTTGTGATTTGAAAGGAAATGTCTCAAGGTTTTCAGATTATWCATATAACTCCTTCAACTTCCTACAGTGTTGATTTTTGGTTTTTTTTTTAATTAAACACTCTGTCTTTGATTAAGAGTATTTCTATGCATATATCTAYATCAGATTGTGGTACTTGATTGTGTAGAATACTTGTGCCTTATTCTTAGTAACAGCCAAAATGAGCTCTGCTCAAGAGAGATTTTAGTGTTAATTATACTCAAAGGAGAAATAATAAGTAGTGGGTAGCATGTCTCACTGTATTGTGTTAAGCCATGTCTGTTATGCTTGTTTCGCTCAAAACCAAGGAAAGGTTGAGCAGTGTTTAGGTCTTGTCTTAGAGTTGTAAAAATTATTTACAAATTGCACACTCCTTGCTATTTCCTTTCAATTGAAGCACTGAACTGAGGAACATAGGGTCATAAGATGGGATGTCGGTGTCCTTTATTTTTGTTACTGTTTCTGTGTGCAGATACACAGGTTTCTTTTTTTTTCTGCCTGTTTACAACTCCCATGTCCATCACTGCACTGCCACTGACTCGCCCTTCCAAAATTCAGCATAAGAAAGGTGGTCAGGTTCACTGTACTGCTGTAGAACCCCCAAAGCAGTGAGGCACAGGCACAGTGCATGAGCTGCTTGGACAGGCACTCCTCAGAGAGCACAGACAGGGATTTTTCACTGCGGTGTGAGCCTCTGCTTTGTGGGAATGTTGTTGGTAAATCTTGGTTTCCTGTGTTTCTGTTCCAGTATGTATGACCAATTGCCCTACTCTGATTGTCATGGTGGGTCTCCCTGCAAGAGGAAAAACCTACATTTCGAAGAAGCTGACACGCTATTTAAATTGGATTGGAGTGCCTACAAAAGGTGATGGATTTACTTTTGTTTACATCAGAAGGGCAGAGCACAATGTTAGGTGGTTTATAAACCTGATTTCCAGTAATTTTGTTGCCAAGTTTGACTACTTAAAATCCTTCTGCTTTATTAATATGTTTTTAAGCAATAACATACACAGGCACGTTGCTGTTTAAGTGTTAATTAATCAGATTCTGTTGACTGTCCTTTTACCTTGTTTTGCCAGGTACTTAAATCAACTTTTTTTTTTTCCCTTATTATTGAAAACTTCCTTTTTTGTTTACTTTTTTTTTTCTTCTTTCCCTTCTTTTCTTCATGTGGGTGAAAAAGAATGTTGTTTACAAGCAGTTGAGCAGTCAGCACTTCTGGGTTAACCTTCCATGTTTTTCTCTCTGTGAACTTTGTGCTGCTTGCAATTCTCTATCTACTTGGTGTAACTGCAGTTGTGGAATGACTTGCAGTTCTTTGTCTAAATGTGAAGAGCCCAAGGAGCTGAGGTAGCACATTGCTACTTGTTATCACCCTCTTAAGGATTTATGTGTGTTTTGGGCAGGAAATGGCTCACATTGGCTGTGCTGAGGAGGTGTCTGGGCTCCTRTGTTATTTTCTGGACAGAATAAACTGGACCAAGGTCCATTTGAGGTTCTGAGCAACCACCTCCCTTTCCTTCTCTCTGTGTAGAAGAGCAAGACAATTTCAGTGTGTTGTGATTCTGTGTCCTGTGCAGTAATAGTAGCTTTATGCCTAGTTAATAATTTAAATGACATTTAAACACATGAGATCATACTAAAGTGTAGAGTTTTGTCTGGATATTAAGAGATGTATTTCCTAGTAGCTCTAAGAAGTCAAAATGAAAAGTTCTGGCCTATATTTAAAGTGCCTTTTGATTCTAGGGTATAGCTTGTTGTGTAGGTGTTTCCTTAAGCTTTTAGAAACTTGTCTAATGTATTCTTTATTTAGAAGAGACATTATGGGGAATATATTACATTGCTTTGGTATGAAAGTACAGAGGATTTAGATTATCCTGATTTTGACTGTTTTCACGTGGTTTAACCTGTCTGATGACCAGTATCAGCTGCAGAGTTCAATTTTATCCATTAGGCTGAAATGGAATAGCAATCCAAGTAGTTTAGCCTATATCCAAAGTGACAAAGTACTTGTATGCTAGATACACAATAACTTAAATATATGTAGATGTGTTATATATATATATATATACATACATATATATATACACATACATATATATATACACATATATATATACACACACACACACATATATATATACACACACACACACATATATATATATATATATATATATATATATATGTATATATATATATATGTCATTGTGTTTGAGCACTTCATTATGAACTTTGAAAAGCAGAAGTCCAGTATTGGGCAACAAATAAGATACCACATCTGCTTCATGTTTGGTTGACTATATCCCAAATACTAACTTTACTGTAGGTGTGGTTTGGCTTAGCTATAGGAAAAATTCTGTGAGCAGCATATCAGAAAACACACACTTGTGCCTAATGAAAATTAGGTAGAGCATTGCTCCCTAATTTTACAAAAATGTGCAACATAAACTTATCATATGAGCTTCTGTCTTGGGTTGCTGGTTATTGTTTGTCTTTCTTAGAAAGGGTGACTTGGGATTTTCTTGGAAAACCACAGAGCCTGTTTGTGTCYTCAGTGATACACTTYTASTGAAGTTGAAGCAGTGTAGAACACCTCACTGCCTGGCTGAAGGAATAAATGACATTTTGCCTAATTCTTCCAGTTGGTGGGACTGAACTGATACAGGATCAGTATCAAGTAGCCCTAACATCTGCTACCCTTTGGTTCTTAATGTCTTGAAATTAGTGTGTGCTTAATTTAGCAAGAGTTCTTGTTCTCTGAGACAGATGGTTCAGATTACGAGGCTATGTAAACCAGAGAAAAGATAAATGCCATCTTTTCATGTAACATTAAGCAAGTTGGAGAGTTCAAGAACAGAAGGTGGAGGTAAATAACCCAGSGTTGGTGATGGTTGAATCATTTTAGCCGTCATTTCTGTGTTGTCTTCTTTACCAAATCCTCTGTTCTTTAGACTCTGAAATGGTTAAAAACACAGAGGACTTTTGTCTGTGCTCTTTGAAGGAAATGAGGTCAATTAGATGTCTGAATAGAATTGTGTTGCAATGTGGTTTTTAGATACTGAGTCTTGGAAGCTTTTTTGAATAGTTGTGGTTGTGATACCAGTTAGCTTTGGGAAATTTTTCCATAGGTGTGGATGCAAGAATAAAGGCTGAAGATTGTCCCACTAGATAGCACTTCTTCCTCTGCCATGCATGACCCTCTGGCAGTAACTATTCCTTCTCATGAAATTAATTATTTTTGATTTTTAAATGGCTGTTGGCTGACAACGCTGGCCATCGGAACTTCTTGCACCTTTTGTTTTTCTTACAAGGACCACGTTTTCATGTAGCCACTGTGGCTGCTGCTCATTAAAACCATCACAGAATCAYCTGGATTGTTCTGTAATCCATGTCATACAGTTGACCATGAAAAATTCCATCAAATCAACACTGCTGAGCTCAAACAAAACTTTACTTTTGGGGAAAATAAAATTTTTTTATCTTTATGTTCTGCCTCCAATCCTTACAGCAATCTCTATACAGCAGCTGGTACTTGAGCCCTTTTATTCTATGTCTTTTTTTCTTGATTGCAACCTTGTAATTTTGTCTATGGCTTCTTTTCCTCTTTCCAGAAATGAAGTCTGGCAAATAGTGTTGTACCTTGGCAGCATCTCAAACAGAATACTTCAGTGTGATTTAATGTTAAAAAAAAAACCCAACCAAAAGCTTTGCAGTTCAACACAAAAAACCTGTAGGTCTGAAACAACTTAAACGTTAATTGCAATTCAGAGGTCTGCTTTCAGAGCCCTTGAATGAAATTAATTAGGGTTCAGTGTCGTTGTCTGYGCTTGGGTAAAGCAGAACTGTCTTGCCCTAATCCCATACCTGATATTGTGACATGTGTTTGGCCACAGACCTTTTGCACTTTTGCCTAGATAAGGAATAGGTGTTTTTGTGACCACTGGTATGAGATCAGAGTAAGATTATGTTCCATGCTTAGGATGATTTTTTTAAGAGTTTTTTTTTAACAATTTATCTTTTTTTTTTTTCCTAGTAAATGGAGCAAGGGTTGTGAAATACTAATCCTTAAGGAATAGAAATATYTGAGCAGGGTTGTGAAAAAATGCTTCCACTACTTGAATTTGAAGCTCTGTTTACCAAAAGCAAGATTGTTTAGTTCTACTTAGAACTCTGCCTTGTTTAAATAAGAGCTGTAAGTTTTGGGAGGTGCTGTCAGAATGCTGTTTTACTGCACATATACATGGAAGAAAAAGCTAATAATCATAGTTRTTAATTATTATTAATAMTAATAATCAGTAGTAGTCCTTTATAGACTGAGTAATCCCTGAAAAGGAGSAATAGAATTCCTTTTTTGTTGTTCAGGCAAACTGGCAGACAAAGGCACTACAGTATGGCAGCTCAAGTATTCTTTAGCTGTTTCCGAGATTTATTGCTGTATTGCTATTTTAAACCCCACAAAACACAAAAAGAAGTATGATATGGAGACCTCTTACAGGCCAAGTTATTTTATCCTTGCAGGAAGTCTGGTTTCAAAGTTGTCATAACTTTTGTCCTTCTCATGTGAGTATTGTTGGCTTCCACTAATGCTGTTTCCTCTTGGCAGAATTTAATGTTGGTCAGTATCGTCGAGATTTGGTGAAAAAGTATAAATCCTTTGAATTCTTCCTGCCTGACAATGAAGAAGGCTTGAAAATCAGGAGGTAAGTTTTGGTTGGTGGTACACAATGCTAATCATATTAAAATGATATTCTGTGTAATTTGCTCTTAGAGATTGCTTGAAGTTGCATTTTTGTATGCTCAATAAGACCCTTAGGGAGACTGCAGGAAAAGACATTCTAGAGAAGGTGGAAAAGTGATTTCTTTAGGCTGATTAAAATATGGAGTATTTTTTTCTTATTTCATCTCAAGCATTAAAAATGGAGAGAAGTCCTTCTTGATTCCGTTTTGCCTTTCAATAGGATGTGATTACTGTTACTCCTGATACTCTAYGATATTTTCACTCAAAAACTGTTTTAACAAATAGTTACTACTTTTCCTACCTTTTTGTAAGGTATCAGCTAATATATCTGATTCTTTCTGCTGCATAATTACTGAAATCCCATTTTAGAGCTTTGTTTGGTTCATAAAAACCTCCCCCACATAACTGCTTTTCTTTTTGGTTTGTGTAGAGGAATTGTTCATCTGGAGCACTTTGAATGTATTTATCATTATCTGCTTAAATRAGTGGGAATGAAAATTAACATTTTCTGCCTGGAATTTTCTTTTTGGCCACCATGCAGGTTCCTCATTCAGTCAATGCACTACCTCAAAAATTGCCATGTTTTGCTAATGCTGTGCAAAGCAGGGAGGGCACCAGGGTGAACATCCGTGTCCAGATGAAACATTTGAGTCTCTGCTCTTGCCTAGAAAGAGGCTGTGCTTTAATGTAGGAACACACCTTGAGAAGACAGGGTAGATGAGGAGAAAGGTCAGAGCAAAGGGGAGCTGCTTCTTTCCTACAGGAGATGAAATGAAAAGGTCTTGCTTTTCTTCAGCTTTCCTTGTGCTTTTTAGCGTGCTCAGGAAAGCAYTTAGAGTGTGCAGTATGAAATGAGAAGGAACAGAAATTTGAGACGGATGGAAATAATATTTATTTAGGCTACTTAAAATATGGACTGTTTTGTTCTTAATCCAGCTTCAGCTTGAGCATGAAAAATGTCTGGACTTTCCTACTGTCTGGACTTTCTTTTGTGGCTGCCTCTTGCCTTGTTTTCTCTCTCTCTCTCCCTGCTTTTCCCCTTAGCAGCATTGAGTGCTGCTAAAGCCAGAGGAGACCAGCTTGCATAAGAACCTCCCARTCCTTTGGGATAAAGAGCAGTTATGAGGTAGTTGCAAGCCACTACCTTTTGCCTACAGGTAGAGCCAAACCTTTTAATGTGCCTCTGTGCCACCTATTAGACTAAATGGTGAGGGATGTAGCATGAAATGGGCTGTGTGAGATGTGTGCCTGGTTAGCAGTGAGTAAAGAGGGTTTGTATTTATTCAGTGAAGACCTGACTGATGAATCTCAGCTCCTGACATCTATTAACTGTGCTAATGTGGAAATACTCTCAGGATTGGAAAGCCTTMATTTCTCTTTCAAGATATAGCTGTGCTTGCAGAATATGGTAAATAGAGGGGTTATGAATTTCTGGAAGTCAAAATCGAGGAGTAATGCAGGGAAGGGCTGTTGAAATGGTCAGGCTTTTATGTTGGTACTGCAAAGAGGCTGTACTTACTCGGAATAAATGGGGCTTTGTTCTGCTGACRAGGAAATCGTGTACAATGTTAATGTTGCCCTCCAGCTTTACTGATGTGTTAGGAATCGTAATGGACTTTGAAGATAATGCTAATGCTGGGGACATAGGAAAGTTGCATATTAATGTCTTCTTCTCCAGCTTTAACACGAGCCTGAAGTTTGTAAGGGTGGGGATTTTTGGTGTCTGTGTCCTCAGCTGTCACCAATACTAATTAGACTGGGTTGGTGACTGCAGTGGGATGYTATTTTCACCTCAGTCACTAATACTTGATGCTAAATTTGTTTTGCTCTCTGTTTTAACAATTTTTTTTTACATAAGCAGTTTTCACACATTAGCTCAAAAGAGAGTAAGTAGATTACTGAAATATAGTTCTCTCCACTTCAACTTAGGGATGCAAGATAAAGGCCTTAAGTTGGTTTATTTTATTTACCTTTTTTGCTTTTTGAGAATYGAATTAAGGATCATGTATCTCTGACTAGGTAATTGGGAAAAGCATACAGTTTCAGGGAGGGTTCAATGATGTTATTTTAGACCAGTGGAAATTATTTTAGACCACTGGTCAGCAAAGTTGATGGCTTTGCATGTCAGTCCTGTGGACAWGTGTAGCTGTATCAGTGACACAGAGAAGAAAGATGACATGGTCACATTTCCTTGGTGTAGCTTAGGTCATCCCTGTTGGTTTTTCCATGTTTGGAGGGAAGTCTGTCTTTTTGAGGTAGATTATCTAACATTTTCAGGGCACTTCGCTCACAGATGCATTAATAAAATGCCTTTAGCATTTGACTTTGGTTCTTTCTTTTTGAAGACAGTGTGCCTTAGCAGCGCTGAACGATGTCCGGCAGTACCTCAGCGARGAGAACGGGCACGTGGCTGTAAGTTTCTTGTTGAAGACACCTTGAGATGTCTCTGCACTAAACACTGTGTGTCTGCTGGATAATACACAGCCTGAGTGATTCCARTAGCTCTCCTGTATACCAGATTTCTTTTCTTTGGCAGTTAGATCTGCCTTGTTGCTGCAGTGAAGTGAGTTCTGAATTTCAAGGTGATGATGCTGTATTGAACAGCTGCCTTTGTTTCGAGGGGTTAGCTGAGCAGAGAGTAATAGCAAGAAAAATGTCCACCTTTTCTCCACATTGCTATRGGGCATTGCTCTGCAGTGTGCCATTAAACACAGCTGCTGTTTTGTTTTCATGTCCGTTTGATAGTTTAATGTTCCAAGTGGAAGGTAAAGACTTGCTGAACAAAAAGTATCCTCTGTATTGCTTGGCAGTTGTGTTACTGGTATGAGAAAGGTGTGAAGAGTGCAGGAGAAACTCAGATTAATGCATGCCCGAGTATTTRATAATGACATGCAAAACATCAACTCTTCAACTGTTGACTTTACRTGTTGAGACTAATTTTTAAAATTTTTTTCTGAAGACTACTGAAACAACTGGGCTTTTTATTAACTAATCAGGGAAAACCATTAACTATAATTACAAGTTACATGGATACATGAGGTAAATGTTATGCCTTGGCAAACTTCTTACTTTCGTAAAACGCTGATGTGTTCAGAGCTAAACTGTGTTCCTAGAAAAAGGGCTGCATTGATTGTGTTATTCTTGGGCAGGGTTTACAGTTCTTCCAAATTTTCTGCCCTTGTTTTACGCTTGCATTTTGAATAGCGGGCTGAATTGCAGCATCTTTTTTTTTTTTTTTTTGTCACATAAGTTCACTAAAAAGTTATGCATTAGTATTTAATGCTGATTATGGGCCAAGAGGAAGATTCTCTCCTGTATTAGGTGTTAGACTTAAATTCTGTATATTTTTCCAATTCTAGAGTTCTGCTAGTAGTGCTTTCAAAATACGACTMATTTTTAGTAATTAGAAAATACTGTGTATAAAGTAGGAATGTCTTCGTTTTCCTGTTGAGCATGTTGAGGCAGTGGGGTGGAGGGAAAGAGAAGTGTTTCCATTKCTTTCCTTCACACTGAAGGTCTTTGAACCCATATTTTTGTTACTAACACAAGCTATGGTGGTTTTTTAATTCCATTTTCTGTTTCCGCTTAATTGTTCCTAGGTCTTTGATGCTACAAACACAACTCGAGAACGTAGAGAAACTATTTATAAGTTTGGTGAAGAAAATGGATATAAGGTAAGTCAAAAGCAAAGCAGTTCTGAGCTATTGTCTGGTTAAGTAAGGCAGTGATAGTTTTGCCCTTTTCTGAACTCCAAGTGCACTAGCACAAGCCACATCCTTCTTAGATGTCTAATCAATATTGTGTTTTGTGTTGCTAAGTATTGTTTGTAATCAGAAGTTATCCAATCCTTATTTTTCTCATCTTTAGTATTTGTACTGTTTGGAGCTAAGCTATTTTKTGCTATGGTTTTGATTCTGTAATCCTGGACCTGTCATTCTATTGCAGTGTCAGAAAGAACTATTTAAAATACGGTTCTTCATGCGGTTCAGATTTTTACTGCAGAAACACAGGGATTTTGTGTTAGTTCTGTACAACCCAAAAGTTTTCTGTGGTTTTCTGCCTTCTGGTTTTACATTTAGCTGTTCTCCAGTCATCTTTCATTTCCTCTAAACTTAATATCCCTAAAYCTTTGACACACAGCTAAACACACATCTCTTTTTAAGGGAGGCTACTCTGTTAGSTGAGAGGCTTCTCAAGTGTTGTTTCAGAAGCATTAGCTACTCTTTGTGGGGCTGAAATTGCATCCYCTGCATTTGTTTCTTCCTCTTCCATGCTATGCTTTTTCTACTGCAAAAAAATTCCACTCGCAAGCATTGTTGGGGGAAAGAGTACAGACCATGATGTGTGAATGGTGAGCCAGGAATTTCTGAGGAGAGGGTCTGAGGAAATAGAAGGAAATTTTAAGACCTGACTCTGTTAAAAAGGCCTTGGCATAGAAGTGGGCAACATGCTGCTCGTGTGTGTTGGTATYCAGAGATGTTTTCATGCATCTTCCTTCTTCCTCTCTTCTGTTCACGTGGCTCCTATTTGGACTGAAGACTTTTTTTGTGGAGTCCGTATGTGTTGATCCAGAGGTCATTGCTGCAAACATTGTGGTGAGTATAAGAAAGTTTGCTTTAACTGCTTGACATTGGGAGGTTTAAAGTAGCTCAGTATTTTTAGCAGTACATTATAAGAACTTCCAATAGCAAAACACCCATGATTTCTTTCATTAATGGAAAAAAAATTCATTTTTTTCCCCAATGTGAATGTTATTAGCTCTCAAGTTTAAATCTTTGAAGGACAGGTTTTTTGCTTTACACGTGTTTTAATGAAGTTGCAGATAAAACTTTGTGTTGTGTTCTCCCACTTCGTATTTCTTTATACTTCCTTGAAGAAGGGAAAGAAACTTAAATACTCCTCTCCTGGTTCTATTTTAAACAGCAAGTGAAGCTGGGTAGTCCTGACTATGTTGATTGTAGTAATGATGAAGCAACAGAAGACTTCATGAAAAGAATAGAGTGCTACAAGAATTCATATGAGACCTTAGATGAAACTCTGGACAAGTAAGTGATGAAGCAATACTTCTGTGATCACMGCTGGTGATGACAGTATTACTAAAATGTTTTCTTAAGGGTTGGAGCATCCTGTRTTAGGGATTACAGCTTTCAAGTCATGTATTGTAGTGGCTTGAGTTCTGTCTTGGCAGATCAGGGAGTGGTGACTCTTGGGGTGTAACCTGGAAAYTTCCTTTTTTGAGGGCAACCGGCTACTGAGTCTGGTCTGGGACAATATTCTTTTTGATTTTCCCACTTGGAGATTGGTATTATTCTGGGATAGAACCAGCATTTAGCAAYTATTCCAGACTTCTTACAGTGGTTGGTTGGTACTTGTTTTTTTGGTGTGTAAAGGAGACATGAGTGATTTGTAAKCGTAACTTAATTGGTTGGCATGATTAAGGTCAATTATGAACACATCAGTCTTAAAAATGTGACTTSTAAATTAACTTCTTTGTGCTTGTAAATTGTCCTGCAGATGCAGGACTGTGAGAAACTCTCTTAGCTAGATATTTATCCTCACGCCAAAGCATTTTTCTGATTTTTATTAACTTTGAACTCTTGCAAGTAAAGTRGGGATGAATCATGTGAGGAGGAGCCCTGTTTCTCTTGCTACAACCCAGGATTTCAGAGTGGGATTTGGAGCTGCMGCCATCCCAGGTGCTCCTGGTTTGTTCCAGGCCCAGAGCTGCAGTTTAATGTAATGAAGCGTGAGCAGCGTGAAGCCGGTTCAATCGGCTCAGTTCATGCGTGTAATTCCTGTGATGGACCTAATGGCTGTKCCTGGTTGGAATAGTAATGATTAACTCCAAGGAACACGGGCACSAATGAGGTGGTGATGCTTGGTTCTCACTACCTCCGTTTGCTTTTATTATAAATTTCTTGTTTTATTGTGGTGTGATGTCTCAAAGGCATCGCTAGAAACCAATAGTGGTTATTTTCAGCTTATTAGACGTTTTTCCTTTTGTGAACTAGAGGCTGCTCTAGAATTATAGCTCAGATGATAAAGGATAAGCAGTGAAAATTGAAATTATAAGCTGTCTGWTGCTGAGAGAAGGTAGTGGAGGGGTAAATTACAGTACTGTTAACAAAGAGTTGTTCACAGAGCCGCTGAGAAAATGGCTTGCTTTCAGACTATTCCCTGGCTTTTTTGGTGCCCTAGTTTTTCTGGAGGGATTGAGATGGGTAATTAGTGACTGTTCCTTTTGGCCCCTGGGTGCAATSAGACAAGTACTTGCTGATGGAAAGTGTTTGTAACATCAAAAAAAAGATCTGGTATTGTAAAATAACTGGATATCTTATTCACTAGTAGCTTAAGTGACTCCACTGAATCTCCCTTTCAGTGTGTGGGCTGTATTTTTCCAGGAGTAGGATTAGATTTGATCAAAGTGCAAATAAAGGAAGCAGAAAAGAAAGTGATGTGAGAGCTCCATGTAAAGGAATAGAGTTCATCCTGTACCTTCAGAGTTCCGTGTTATTTCTTAGGACTAATGCATATTCCATGGCTAATTGAGGATTTTTTCATTTCTTTGGCTTGTTGCCCCTTTGTTTTATAATGAAAGGGTGGAAAGATTGTGGTACGTGCTAATAGAAGCAATGTGGAATCTTACTTTCTTTTTTTTTAACTTGTTCATGAAAGGGATCTTTCTTACATTAAAATTATGGATGTCGGAAGGAGTTACCTTGTGAACAGAGTGATGGATCACATCCAGAGCCGGATTGTCTACTACCTCATGAATATCCATGTGACTCCTCGGTCAATCTACCTCTGCCGACATGGGGAGAGTGAACTCAATCTGAAGGGGAGAATAGGAGGAGATCCTGGGCTGTCTGTCAGGGGGAAAGAAGTACGTATGTGCCTCCAGACAGGCGTGACTGGGTTCTGTGTGTGTTTGTGCTGGGCAATTACAGCTCTCTTCCTCTACAGCCTTTTCTTCTTAATGTGTTTAAGGACTTTTTTAGTTGTGTATTTGGGTAGTGGAAACAGGATGGACACTTTGTGTGTAATGGCTTGGTACGTACTCTTTTATCTGTCTCTCTGTTGTCTGAAATTCCTTTTTATSCTACAATACAGAGCAGTTGGCAAGRGGGCTCTGTTTTTTAGCTATATTTTTGTAAAATCCTGACCAGTTGGGTAATTGGGCAAGTGTACACAAATTAAAGCTGAAAGGAAAATTCCTGGAAGGAAACTTAGGAACTTCTGAAAMCTTGTATTTTCCTTGTGCTCCTTTTCTTTCTCCTGTCCCTCTTGGATAATGGAGTATGTTGTATTTTTTACCAAAAACTTTGACAGTTTTGTAAAAGCTRCAGTGAGTTTACAGAGGCTGGAGTCTGTGTATTCTAAACTGAATGCTTTTTGTTGGCTCTGGGCCCTCATGCAGTGTCTCTTGGTTTTTCTTCCAGTTTGCCAAAAGCTTGGCACAGTTTATTAATGAGCAAAATATCAAAGATCTGAAAGTTTGGACCAGCCAGATGAAAAGGACAATTCAGACTGCTGAAGCCTTGGGAGTGCCTTATGAGCAGTGGAAGGTTTTGAACGAGATAGATGCAGTAAGTACTTCTCTTTTAAATGTCTAATAAATTGCTTTGATTGCTAGAGGCGAAGAAAGTACTTAGTTTTTTAACAATATGTCTTTTATGAGATGGAAAGTCATTTCCAGCCTCTAGAAGCAGCTTCAAAGATTGTCACTCWTTCCTGTACACAAGGCAAAACATTTTWTTGAATTTTGCCATAGTCAATTTATTCTTCTTTTGTCTTTCCCTGTAAAACATTCCCCTGTAGAAGCCATGATGCTATAAAATTTTGGGTAGGTGGGGGTTGGAAAGAAGTTTGTGTTTGAGGGGGGTTGGTAGGGGGTAATTTCCAGCAGCATCTGTAAGAAAATCCAGGTGCAACAGATAAAACATGGCCGTGCTTGCCCATATGTGTAACCTGTGCAGGGATTTAATGATTCCTGCTAACCACATCTGGGTCAGGCTGTGTGTCCTGTTCAGTGTGCATGACAATTCAAGTGTCASAGTAGCAAAGTGCAACTGTTAAACATTGTTTATATGTGGTTTTATTTAAGAGCGGTGTCTGCTTTTGCACTGCTGGAAATACATGGTTTTAAAATTGTTTTCATTATTGACAGGGAGTGTGTGAAGAGATGACATATGAAGAAATACAGGAAAATTATCCGCTTGAATTTGCACTGAGAGACCAAGACAAATACAGATACAGATACCCTAAAGGGGAGGTATGCTATTTTTAATCTCAAGTTGAAGGTCTTCCTTGTCTTCTTAAATACATGCATACTGGCTTTAAGATGAAAAAAACAGAATTTTTAAATTAATGARAAGGTTGTTTCTCCACACAGAAGCACATAGGATCTTGCAAGGATTGAGCCCAAACCATTGAATTTGATCCAGGGCTTGAAACAATAAATTTAGAAAAACCATGGAGAGCTTTGATCTTGTGGGCATCATTCTTGTGCTGGTCCTGCAGTGATAAAGCAGGAAGAATTAATGCAGTGCTTCAACTGTTGCACATGTAAATGTTGTGCCAAGGTGGCCTGTTTCTGTTGGTCTGGGCTCTTGGTGGTGCCTGTTTTGTGGGCAGCTCTGGCTGAAGTGCTAGGGAAATCTCCAGCCATGTGATTAAACTCCTTGCCTCTGGGAAAATAAACTTGCTGATGGTTTTCTAAAGCAGCCCCACTAGAGTGCAGCAATGTCCAGATGGTCACAGGGCCATCGATGGGTGCTGTGGGATGAGAGTTTGGTAGCAGTGAGGAGGGATTGGTGCAGCTGCTTCTGCTTGAGCCGTGAGGAAGCAGAGCTCTGCCTTCTTCCTGCACAGTTGAGAGCCATCACTGTGACAAGAGCAGAGTCCCTGGCAGTGTGGCCYCAGTCCTGCTAATGAGGCAGTCATTAAGCTGCAAAGTTCTCCTCCATTTGAACAAGGAGTGTTTGTTTTTTCAAACCAGTACAATCCTCGGGATGGTGACAGGCATTTCAAACTCCTTCAGTGCCTTGTGGTGATGAGCTGGTCTCATTTACCTAAGGCAGTTTTGTGTCTGGTGACAGTGTGAGGGGTTTGCACAGCTCTCTGGAGGCTGGGGGCATTCTGTTGTCCAGAGCCCAGTCAGCAATGCTGCTTTGTCCTGGCTAGGAKGAAGGCAAAGGCTTTCTGCTGTGCTTGGTCCCTGCCCTGCTGGGTAACATGCTGTGCTCTCCACGTGTGCAGTACATGACACATTCTGGGCGCATGTGACACGTTTTGGAAGTACKTTACACATTTTGGAAGTGTCTTTACCCTGCATGTGAAAATTAACTCGGTCATGCCCATGTAGGAGCCTTGCTGTTCAYCCTGTGCACAGCCACGCAGAACAGGTCACCAGCAAGTCCTTGCTCTGACTCGTRTGGGATGGTGGCTGCAGTCACCAGGCCAGTTCAGCATGCCCACGRCTTGTTTTGAAAGGGCAGCCTCAACAAGTCAGGCTTTGTGAACTCTGTTGGCTGGGTTTCCTAGATTTTTGCTTGGAAGAGCGATGCTTTTGAAGATAAGATATGGAAAATAACGTGCAAGACTCTTATTTGCAGATGTGAATTAAATTCTAKGGATTTTGTGGAAATTCTTGATCARAGTGGCTAATTTAATAAAGCTTTTCCATAAGGGAGGGTTTCTTTTGTTACATGTATAACAAAGTGTTATGTAAATGCTCAGGTCTGAAGTGTGTTCTTAGTTTAAAGAAAATTATTACTGCAGTATTWGTCTGTGCAATAAACACTTAAAAGATTAATAATATGAAAGTAAGATCCCCTCTATATACATACACTGTTCAAAGAGTTTTCCCTTTTTAATGTGCTSTTTTTCCTCCCCACCCAGTCCTATGAAGATCTTGTTCAGAGGTTGGAGCCAGTAATTATGGAACTTGAAAGGCAGGAAAATGTGCTTGTCATTTGTCACCAAGCTGTCATGCGCTGTTTGCTCGCATATTTTCTTGACAAGCCTGCAGGTAACTCTTCCTTGATATATTTCAAACAGTCTGTTGGTTTTGTTTTTTGTTTTTTTTTTAAATTTACTGCTTAAGGTTCCAGACCAGAGACTGGTTTTGCTAGGCAAGTGCCCAAGTGTAATTTTTCATATTTGACCCCCACATGAAACTTGGTAGTTGATGCTGAGCTGCTCCTCACCTGGAATGCTGTGATGTTTGTTTTTTGCTCTGTTTGATGAGCATTTCTGTTGTGTGCTGGGGAAACAGATACACTGTTAGGTGAAAAGACATTTAAGTGGTTGACCTGAAACATAACAGAAAAGTTCCTTTAGCCTGTATTTCATGTGTAATTTGTGGTTTGATTTCTCAGAACAACTGCCCTACCTGAAGTGCCCACTGCATACTGTCTTAAAGCTTACCCCGGTGGCTTATGGTAAGTACTATTAAGTATATTTAATATATGTCTGGTTATACTGTCTCTGTCATCAAGAAAGAGATGTTTTAAGACACATTTTATTTTGCTTTGAAGTAGTTAGCTTTGACAAATTGCATGTATGCCTGCAGAGCTTTGGTGGAATAAATGGATCCTTTGGATTACCCTTGCTTTGCCTTGTTCATGGAAGCACATGTTGCTGAAGGCTGRAACCACCAGTGGCTGTAACTGCTGGAGGGGACAGTTTTGTGCTCAATTCGTACTCTATTTCACTAATTCTTCTGACAAACCYATGCATTTGCACTTCTGGTGTAGCAAGATCTGAGTTTTTATCSATGTATCAGAGGGTAATGCTTTTCAAAAGACAGGCAAATTTACATTTGTGTAGGTTTATCATCTTGCAAAATGTGTTCCTTTAGCCTTAAATAACTTTGTTCTCTTTTCCTGAAGTATTTCTTTCCGTGGACCTTCACAGTAGCACACGAACTCACCTAGTTTGTTGATGTTGGCACTTGTTTGTCAGCAGCTGTTCCTGGTGCTTGGCTYGGGGGCTTTCACTGGGCACTGTGGGGTTACAACGTGCCCTGCTTGGGCTTTAGGCTGATTGCTGATGGACTTTTGTGTGTGTTTCCACCTCAGCTTCATGTGTGCCTGCTGTTCATTTTCATTAAGTGATGGCTGAGTTGTATCTGCTCATATCTCATCACCCTTTAGAAGATGATTTTAGGCAGAGAATTATCYACACATCTTATCAGGAAAAATGGATTGCCCAAAAATGTTGGTTCAGCCATTCATTTGAAGCTGTCTTTGATTACCAGCTCTGAAAAATAGCGGTCTATACGTGTACTTTGTTTTTTTGTTAAGTTTCGAATAAAGTAGAAACAAAGAATATTTTGGAACAAAGTGACTGCTACACCGGGAAATCTGTCTGAAGAGATTTGTCGTTTGATTGCAGTGAGGTCCTACAGGAGCGACAGCCTGTGCTGTGGTGACATCTGCTGTTCACAGCCTTGCATGACAAGCTGGGATTTTGAAAATAAAAGATTCAGTGCAGTTAAAACTTATTTAAAAAGAACAACTTGATTCTTCTGACTTGCTAGTCTTTGCCTGTTTTCCACAGCGAGGCTTTTTTTAGGGATTGTCTATGTGTTTTGAGGGGTTCTCTGGTGATTTTTTTTTTGTTGTTGTTTTTGTTTTTCTTTTTTTGGTGGAAGGGGAAGTTGGGTGGCTGTTCAYAAATTTTAAGAGGCTCTGGATGTTTGCAGTGTTTGCTCATGCAAAGTGAGGAAGGAAATGATACGAAATACTGTCCTTGCCCTTTTGGCTTCAGTGAAAGAAATGCTGTTGTCCTTTTTTAAAGTGTTTGATATGTATGTCTGATGAGCACATTTCAGCCAACCTACTTTTTGGAATTCAGCCATGTGAAAACATAAGGACTGTGTAAATTATTTCTACAGTACTGATCRGTGGCACTGTTCCAAGCTGATGTGTCACTTGGCTCCAGCCAGGCAGGATGCAGGATCAGACCTGGTCTGTTCAATACCTCCCAAGTCAGCCTGTTCTGGGGAAATTCCTCCCCTGGGGGTTTGCTCTTCCTGGTGTTGGAGAGAAGCATCATTCCTGCCTTCAGTGTCTGATGTGCAGTAGGGGAACATCTGTTACATCCTGACAGCTGGATTAGGATAAATGAGACCTTTTCCTAGCAGTCCAAGATAGTGGTGGTCTATGGAAAGAGAAACTGCAGYTTGCTGTGGTATGAACTTGCTCATCAGTAATTAAAAATGAGCTGCAACCTTGTACATGGTAATTACTGTGGGGCAAGGCATGTCCCTTTAGTTTAGATTTAAAGCTTTCCATGCAAGGTTCTTTGGATCTTGAACTCAGCTSGTGGTAAGGACTGAGAGGTCTCTGAAGCATTTGCAGTGTAGCAGTCCTGACTAAGGGCCAGCAGCAGGGCTCAGAGCTTGTTTTGGCTTGGTCTCAAGGATCACAGCGGATCTGTGGACAGAAGGATGACTAAGGATCCTGTTCCAGGGAGAGATGTACGCTTTTCYTCTTTAAAATGTGTTTTTGTTTTATGGTTCACTATTTCTCTGAATGCTGGCCCTCCCACAGTGTTTGCTCACAGTGTTCCTGACAAATGGGCTTTCTCAGAACAGGCTTCCCTAAGGGGAGGCAAATGCTGGCCTTGCAAATTTATTTTTATTTTTTTTAAGTGTAGTGGCTTTCTAAGGAAATCCCCTTTTTCTGCCACGTAGCAATTCTATGGAGTGTGTTACAACTTTAGGGAATAAGTGAGGAGAAAAATCTGGAAACCTCTTTGTGATAGAGGATGGACTCTGATATGTTAGAGGAAGTGACTGTTAGTGGGTGTTGTGTGGAGTAGTGGTAGCTTGTAAAAGTCATGTTCATGTGAGATAAGCAGGGTTTTGGCAATCGGATGTTGCTTGAAGTTCTGTGGCCATGGTGTATTGAGTAATTCTATCATTCTCCAAGTGTGTCAGTTTATGCTACCTGGGAAATAGTTGTTTCTTCTCATTGTTTAATTTTTATTGCCTCCCTGGAGTTTTGAATTTTTGAATGTAAAGCAGAAATTCCTTTTCAGGAGTCAGCTTTGAAGTTCCGTTTAGCTTGGGGTTAAAACCCTTCTGCACGTATAGAGGAAGGGAGTTTCTRACAATACCCTGCACCTTCTTATAGTTGTTTTCATGTTTAAAAAATGAGACCAACATTTATCTTCTTAGAATTTCACTGTAAAACAGAAGTCTAGRATGCTTAAAACACAAAAAGTTGCAAATAACTTTTTCACTGAATGTTCATGTATGTTAAAAAAAAAAAAAGTTTTTTTTTCCCAAGAAAATAATGATAAAGCCAAGGTGAGGAGCTGGACTGACAGATTGACAGCAATCTTCATCCAGGTGGAACARACTAAGTTCTGTAGCTTTAGCTCTTCAGAACTCATTAATTTCTGGTATAAATCAGAAGGGGAAAGTGATTAACATACACCAACTCAAAATTAGGTTGCATCTTTTTGATAACTTCACTTTTAAAGCAGATGTATCTAAAAATGTGTTTTCTATCAACAGGATGTAAAGTAGAATCGATATTTCTGAATGTGGAAGCTGTAAACACACACAGAGATAAACCTGAGGTAAGAATATTTTTCAAAYTGGAGAACTTGATGTAATGTGCTGTCTGAGCTGATTTCCACTGTCCTCATGGCTAGAATTGATTTAACTCAGCTGAGTTTAATTTATTTTACATATGAAGCTTTGCTRCTGGTTTTCTGTGAGGGGAGAGCAAATTTTCTGTAGAGCAAATTTATATATGAGTTCTAGCTGGAATATTTATCTTTGAGAAACGAGAATTTGAAGATGTGGTGTCAGTCTGAAAACCATATGAAGTTCTGGCTGGCTTTGTCACTAGCAGAAGTAGGTGTAGCCAACAGTTGTGTTATGAATGCCATGCTAATGCTGGAGACAGAAATCATCAGCTTTTTCATCCCTGYGGTCACTGCTGTATGAAAAAGAGGAATTGATGATGTCACCTGTGTTTTAAGCCAAAGCTGGAAAAGAAGACTAGATCTCAGGATACAGCAGGACAACCGGGGGAAGGAAATTGAGCGTGTTTGTAACATGTAAGTGGAGAGAAGATGTCAGCCCAYGGCAGCTCTCTACCCTGCCTGCAACAGGCTCTCTGTGCTGCTCAGTGTTCACCTGAGCTCAGGTTGATTCTGCTGCTTGTGCCAAGCTCTGCCTTTGCTGCATCATGAAAGTTGTGTGAATTGTGTCATGATTAAAAATCTCTGGTTCCCTTGCAGATCCTCATGCTATTGCCGCCAGGTATGGCACTGACTCCATGCTGAGGTTAGGAGCAGTGCCTACTGGTGAACTGTAAATCAATTTGATAACATGAAGGAAAAGGGCTGTGTTTGGTGGTTTTCAGAAAAACAGTTTATGGTSAAAAGGATTATAGTGAGAAACGAGGTATCATGTGTGTATTCAATAGGATGTGTGACACAAAGTGCCTTGCTTACTTTCTTACCTCACTTTTGTGCAGAATCCATGCTGGAATTCTTTGCTGATTTCTTCTGCAAAGAAGCTTTTTTTTTAATGACCTGGTATTCCAAGTTCTGAAAATACTGACTTTTGGACATTTTTCTCTTCAACAGCTGCATTGCAYATTTCCTCTCCCCCCCTTTATCTGCTTTGTCATTCTGCTTTGCCATTTTGTATCTTAGTTTGATTTGTCATGTTTAGGAAATCCAGTCTGTGTTTTTGCAGTACCTGAAGCTGGAGAAGCAGAGTGAAAATCTGTGAGGATGTCTTGGAGCAGCAGGTTGTGTTAAGTAATGTAGATGAACATCTTTAGTTTGGCTGATCAAAACATCCACTCTGAATCTACATCTTGCTAAAATGTTGCTGRAAATGCCACTCCTCTGACTGAAGAGGTTTATTTCAAGGGGGAAAGCACTGCCTGAATCACCAAGTGACTCTCAGTGTGTTTAACAGGTGATGTGGCCATGCTGGCACTGGTGTGGAGTGACTCTGTTCAGGTGCACATAGAGGATCATGAAGACACTGCATTGCAGTGGACACAAAGACACAAGACTAATTTGGACAGGAATAAATTGAATTAATTAATTTTTTAAGTAGAAAAAAAAGAGTAGTGACATTTTCATTAAAACCCCTCAAATTCTCTTCTCCCTCTGCTCCAAAAGAAACCCAGCCTGGTGAATRTGGGTGATGTTACACTGTTCAGGTATAGGTTTGCATGAAGGACTGAGTTGGTGCTGTCTGCATTTAATTGCTGCTCAGAGGACTGTGAAAATTTCAAAAGATTTCGTTTGTACCACCTGCAGAAATGTTAATTACTTCTGTAAAATTAGGTTTTCAAGTAGTCTATTGAAGTCAAAGCATTTAATTAAATACAAGTGCCACAAAAAAGCATTGTTAAATAATGAAACTATTGGATTGAAAATTGCCCAGCGTGCTCTTCTGTGACCCACCCGTCACTTGTAGTCTGTGCTCCAGAACAGTGCCCTCCTTTTGGGCTCAGCTATTTTCACATGGCAGAAATGCAGGCAAAGCTCTGGAGTGTTTGTGGTATGTGTGGRCCTCAGATACCATGGTGATTTGTCTGGAGCAGATTGAAGCCTTGTGTTTGTCAGCATTGTAGTGGCTGAAGTTCTGACCTTTTCTAATGAAGGAGTCTATAGTCTTTGACTGAAAATAATTCAGGGGAATTGCTTTAGCTGTTATTGGGTCCCTTCTTTGGGCCACAAAACAAGTGCTGGGGTGAAATGTCTGCTTTGCACATCTGGCTTAGATGGTGAATGACAGAGAGATTACTCATAGCCAGATCTCYTTTTTAATTTTGTTGAGGGGATATGGGGAGGGAGATGTTAGTGCAARGTGAGCTGGCTCACCACAGTGYGAAACATCTGAGGCTGGTGAAAGCCATCAGCCTGAAGTTTGAAGAATTTGCAGTGATTTGGCTTWAAATGGATCTTGTAAGGTGCTTCARAACAGTTTATCATAGTCTGGTGTGTTGGTGGAAGGGARAATACCAAATGCACRGGCTTTGGGATGTGCAGGAGGTGCYACCATAGCAGATGTGATTCCTGACATCTTTGGCTGCACTGGGGTCTTGGTTTCATTTGGTTCTCARTAACTGAGTGCTGCATTGAATGTCACTGCTTTTCTGCAGCCTCTGCAAAATGAGGTGAGATCTAGTTGGTGTGATCAACCTTGAGTGGTTGAGGTGTCTGAGAACATACTTTCTATTTTGTTAGAGATGGTATGTAGTCTGTAACGCAAACACATGTTAAAAATCTTTCTTTGGCACAGAAGCATGGGGCATGTTCAGCAAAACACTGAACATTGAGCAGATGTGTATGTGCTGAAGCACATGATGAAGTGGATTTCTGCTGGGCCCTGTAGAAGACTTCCTCCTAAATGTGACTGAGTTGAGCTTTGGGCAATGCTGTCAGCATGGGAGCAGTGATTACTGTAAATACACTTTCCTGCTGTCTCGTTCTGGGACATGACTGGCTCTTAGTCTGCTGCATTCTTGGGGTCTGGGGGGCTGAAAACATCTCTGCTTCTCAATCAACCCCTCTGTGTACTTGTGAAGGGATCTGATTGGTGATTTTTATTGGTCTTACTGCTGCATGATAAATATTCTCTGTATTTTTATTATTATACAGAATGTAGATATTTCCAGACCTCCCGAGGATGCTCTTGTAACTGTCCCTACTCATCAGTGAATCCTGTGTGCTGACCAGCTATCGAACTCGGGGTGCTGTTTTCATCCTACTACTTCAAAATAAATCGAAAAACTAATCATTCCAATCACTTTGAAATAAAAAAAAAGCCCCACCCAAACCCAACTCATAACCCAAACCAAATGTTTGTACAGCATGACTTGAAAAAATTTATCAAATCACAATAAAACTGTTGCACTGGCTGATTTATTGTGGATGAATTATCAAACCTTGATCGGCTCTCATTGGTTTTGTAAATTGCAGTAATTTAAATATCGTGCAGCATCAAGTTTTATTGTAACAGCCAACAATCATTTTGTGTTAGTTGCAGTGTATTTATGAAAGCCAYGAAACACAACATCCTGTGTGAGATAAGAAAGTCAACATTTGTTTTGCCCAGCAGAGCACCACTATTATCTGTTTCAGGGCCCTTGGGAGTGATTGGGTTGCCATGTAATGTAAAATAACATCCCATAATTACTGTAAGCCCCTAATCCTGCTGATCCGCAGCACTGGTGCTCTCCATGTGCTAATTAATGATGTGCTGTGTTGGAACAGTAGCAACACAGCTAGTCCTCATTTATTTCCAGGACAATTATTCAAAGAATAGGAATGTGTATAGATGTTTTTAATATACAACTTTTGTTAACAGCTGTTCTGCATTAACCAGGCTTTAGGGTTTGCCTGGGGGCAGAAGTGATTTTAAATTCCCTCTTTTCTGGTTTTGTACGGATGTGGGTGATGGAGCACGCACAGCTCTGCTGTGTACTCAGATTTTACGTGTGCTCCAGTAAGCAGTGTTGATCATTCCTGAACAGGGAAGCAGAGTTAGCCAGAGGATTTTGTAGCTGAGTAGTGGCTCCAGGAGATGTGGGATCCCAAATCAGCAGGGCATGAATCCCAAACTGTGTGGCAGGAAAACCTCTTGCAGGCTGGAGGAGATGTGGTACCTTGGGCCCTTTCTCATGGTGTTCCATGGGCAGCACGAGACTGTGGGACTGTGCCACTGAGCAGGTAGCACTGAGACAGRGAAGGGCAGAAAAACACTGAACCTTGGAACTCTTTGCTGAGGGCATCTTTTAGTCGTGAAAGTAGGACTGTAGGTTGTGGAAAGCTTTTATCTGTTAGGTTTCTCAGGTGATACGTTTTTTCCCAAACCAGGATTTTGGAACAAAAAAAGTTATATATCTGCACTTCTAAAATTGTGCTGAAATTTTCAGAAGTTTATGTCTGCTATAGCCAGATTACMTCCTGGCCAGAAAACCTCCTGCTGTGRTGCTTGGTATTTAGCTAAATCACTRTCCTTGGGCTGAGATTGGGAGAATCAGGATCATTTTCCTGTTGCTCTCRTGGCTGTGATGTAGGAGTGTTTGGTCACTTTTCCGTGTTTAATTGCTCCAGGGTGTGGGCATGGGCTTTGCTGTGAAAGGTGTCCCAAAGGAGGAGACCTGAGCCTGCTGTGCTCTTTGCTGACAGCTGAGGTGACATTCCTGAGGGATCACAGGGATGCTGGCCACAGTCAGGTACTGTGGAGCCACGTGGCAGCTTGGAGTGCTGTCACCTCCCCAGGCCACAACTAAGGAAATACCCATCCAAATTAAACTAAATCCATTGTGTTTCTGGTGGGGCCAAAATCTGTGCAGGCATCTGCTGTGGAAAAACTGAGCTTTGCGGCATGAAAAAGGATGGGTTGGGCTGTTGGAGAAAATGGAGGGGGAGGATGACAGGGGCAGGAGCTTGGCCAGAGAGGAAAGCAGAGTTTGCCTGCTCTGTGGCTGGCAGAGGTTGCAGAGGGAGGAGAAGCAGCAGGAGCACCCAGGACCCTCCATTCCTGCCAGCTGCTGCCAGCCACATTTCCTGGGGCTGTGTGTGCTTGTTGTTCTCTGCTGAGCACAGCACTCACTGTGCTRACATGTGCAGCTGAGTGAAGTGGATATTTAAAAGCAGAATGCTCTCAGGGGTCTCCTCTTACAGCAGGATTGCTCAACAGCCCTGTCTTTGTCAGTAAAAGCAAGGCCATTTGCAGGATGGGCAGCATCAGTGGTGGTTTGTGGCACAGCTTTGCCAGGGGGATACTGGCTGAGAGAGTGCTGGGTGTTTATATTGTGCTSTTTATTTCTCTGTTTATGTTTGGGCTGGTTCTTGTCTCTGGAGTTCCTGCTTTTCCCTGCTGGAGCCTTTCTGCAAGATCTTCCTGTTCTGCTRTGAAGATCACACGTAGCTGAGTCAAAGTAAAACCGAAAATGGGGCCTGTCCTCGGAGACCCCCAGCATTTTGCTAGGGAGGGCTTGGTCTTTTAGGAAAAATGTGTACAAAGAGCAGAATATAATGAGAACAGCAAGAGTGGTAGAGCAGGGTATTTGAGTTAATGTGTGTACTTTGAGTCTTTCCAGGAAGGACTGGGTGAGTTGGACTCTTGTGCAAGGCACAGCAGACTGCTCTAGGGGCAGGCTCTGGCAGCAGCAAGCTCCTGCAGGGGCTGGCCAAGGAACAGGGGGAATGGCCTGGTAGGAACAGTATTTAGGAGAGCTCTGTGGGGTTTATTCTGCCTCCTGGGTTTCCTGGGCTCTCCAGACCGTGTTGCAGCTGGTGTGTGGCTGTTCCCAGGATGGTCAAGCAGTTTCAGGGATACCTTGTGTCCCAAAAGTAAGGATGAAACCTCAGTCACTTTTCTAAGCAGCAGCACCATCCTTGTTGCGTGGCTTTCCCCTCACAGTGCCCGTGGCTGTTCTGGAAGTGGGTACAATCCCAGCTGCCATCATCTCATCTAATGGGATCCCTAAGAATAAAAATCCACTTATTGTTAATGAGGATATTGGTCCCTTTCTAAGCCCCTGTTCATCTGGTCTCACTGCTGGCTATTGWGTTTGTTTAATAAGCCCTTAGGGGTGTTTATCAGGGTTTATCCCAGTTTTCTTCCTTTACTCTTGACAGTTCAGCACACTGCTTCCACAGCCTGTTCATGTTTACTCAAATTCAAGCTTTTTCTGCTTTCAGCTTTCTTGCCTGCTTATAAATATTCCCTTTGGGTCTGTTTGAGTTGTTAAAATGCTGCTTTAATCCGATACCTCTCATTGACTGAAATAAGCTGTATCTTCTACCTTGCCTTAATCACCTCATTTCCGTTTAGCTTYATGTTTGAGCTGTCTAGTTCTTGCTGCTTGTGGACTAATTTTCAGTACCTCTGGATTTCTGCATTTTGATGCTCCATTTCATGCTCCATTTAATTTTCTTTGAATCAACATCAGATGTTCAGCTTAAAAGATTGCAGCCAGTATTCTGGGAGTGCCTGTGGAGACCTCTCTGCAGTCCCAAGGAATTTCTGGGTATTTTGCATCAGTTGCTAAGAAAAACACAAATAAACACACTAAATGCCAGCATGTTCTGTTGGTTCGTTGTTGGCTTTTTTTCTCTTCTACAGCCATGCAGAATATTACTTGTCTTGCCAGTTCCTTGTGTTCTTAGATATCGATGCTTTCTGATGTTTTCCCCATTCTGAAGAGGAGATGCTTCTTGTAGAAGCTTCYTTTTGAAATAGGGTTGTTGCTTTGCTTTCTTTCACAGAGATGTGAGAGTGGGTCAGGCCATGTGCTGGTGGGTGCAGGCATTTCCAGTACTTGGATGACTCTGTCTGGCAGTATTTACTCTGTGTGTGTGTGTTCCCAGAAACCTYGCTGTGGTGTTTATGGTGGAAAATGGGGATTTACCCAAGGGTTTGAAGGCTGATGGCAAAGGAAAGGGCTCACATGGATGTAGGAGAACTGGTAGGGCAGAGCAATGTTGGCAGAAATTAATCTCCAAAGAGAATCTGGTGCTGCTTCTTTATCCTGCTTTTGTAAGAAATGGCTGAAAAATCTAGAAACTGGGCTTGGGGAGGGCATTGAATTGCTTTTTGAGTTGATGAGTTTGGACTGGTGGAGTTGTGTGTCTGCGTGTGCTGACACACTGTGCTCACCGTGTGCTGGTGGGGCTCTTCTTTCCCTGGAGTTGGACTGGAGAGACTYGTTTTGAATGTAAACTCTAATAAATGTGGTTATAAAACCACTGGAGCATTCCCTGATGTCAGTGCGACATCTGCCACATGTCTGTGTATCCCAAAGTRCATTTAAACTTTATATTACCAGCTCTTTAGGGAACACTTGATGTTACCAGCTCTTCAGGGCRTTACTCAGAGTTCTTCCAGTGACTTGGCTGCTCACAGATAGGATCAGAATTGGCTTTATGGYTGCTGCTGCTAAGGAGTCATTTCCTGGAGTGTGCTTGGAACAGGGAGAGGTGGGCTTCCCTCCATCAGGATTTTAGTGATTATGTGGTTTATATCCTTTTCAGSGTTCTGTTTTTCCTTACATGCATAAAGACTGGGAGAGACAGTGAATTAGAAAAMTGTGGTTAAAGCAGTGGTTAAAAGAAAAAAAGGTTTTAAAATCCATAACACTGAGATCTGCATATGGTGTACAGGGAGCACTTGTCCTGCCAGAACTGGTGTGACACAGGTCTGAGGGATGCTTTTCACTGGCAGCAGAGATCCTGCTTTTGGGTGTCCAAGGGGCTCTGTAGAGCTCCCAGCACTGGGACAAGGTCCTGCTCAGGGGCTGGGCCCTTTCCTTGTGTTTTACAGAGCGTTTTGAGGAAATGCATTAAAACTTGATCATCTTTTGCATCATGTAACAGCTGCATGTTGAGCAAAAACTGCGGCCAGCTGTGAAACCTTTGGTTTAATTTTTATTTTTTTTTTTGTCTTTAAATGTGCAGAATGTAGGTGTGAATCGGTCGAGAGAAGAAGCTCTGAGGACAGTCCCCACCCACCTATAGCTGCAGCTCCCGGRGCAGCAGCCCTTCCTCCAGCAGCTCAGGGCCCGGAGCAGCGCGGTGGGATCAACGCGCCTCCCCTTCCCTTCGACACATTTCGAATGTGGTTCCACTTCTTTGGAGAAAACCTGTGCTTGTGGATAACTCCCGGTGCCGAAAGGTATCAGTAAAAAAAAAGATTGTGGCAAGCAGAGTTGGTTTTAGATTTTTCTTATGTAAATTTGTGCATTTCAGTGGGATTTTACTGTTCATCTGTGGATAATGCAAGATGGTTAATTGCCCGTGTTGATTTCACTGTCAGATTTTAACTCGATTTTATTTTCTTTTGTAAGTGTTTTTTCTAAGAGTTCTCTTATTTTTACTGTGAATGATTGCCTAGAATTACATGGAGTTTTTTTGATGGTGTATTTAACATGGGTGAAATTCTACATTTTGAGCATTGGAGGCTTCAAGTTGCAAAGCTGCTTTAAATGGGGAATCCTATCACATTTGATAATTGTCCTGTGTTTTAAATTGAACTTTGGTTTGCCAATCACAACCTAAAATTTTTCTGAAATTTCCAAGGAAGATGTTCCTTTTGGAAAACCAAAGCATTAAAGCTGSATTTGCTGCCTGGAAGATTCTGCTGTTTGAGCAAGATTTTTACATTTTCCAGAGACCCAGGTGTATTTTGGAGGGCAGTGGAGGGGAACATGAGTGTGAGTGACAATTGGGGAAGGAATCAAGAGAGACAGAGAAAGACATGTCCTTTCTGCTGCAGTTACAGGAGGGGATGAGCAGCTTTTCTGAGACTGGAAGGGAAAAGGATTCAGCCTGTCAAGGGCTGGAAAAGCTGCCTGTGGTTATTTTTTTAGGGAATTTTTGGAATTAATTTCAACATAAAAGTATATGTTTCTCTTTTATAGCCACATTTAAT